ATAATTAGTGAGAGATCATCTTAAAATGCTACCGTCGTGATCACCATCGTCACATGCAATCAATATAAGTGATATGATATGGCCATCATCATCTTGTGCTTGTGATCTCCATCTCTGAAGCACCATCATGATCACCATCATCACCGGTGCGACATCTTGATCTCCATCGTAGCATCGTTGTCGTTTCACCATCTATTGCTTCTTCGACTATCGCTACCGCTTAGTGATAAAGTAAAGCAATTACAGGGCGCTTGCATTTCATATAATAAAGCGATAACCATATGGCTCCTGCCAGTTGCCGATAACTCGGTTACAAAACATGATCATCTCATACAATAAAATATAGCATCACGTCTTGACCATATCACATCACAACATGCCCTGCAAAAACAAGTTAGACGTCCTCTACTTTGTTGTTGCAAATTTAACGTGGCTGCTACGAGCTGAGCAAGAACCGTTCTTACCTACACATCAAAACCACAACGATAGTTCGTTAAGTTAGTGCTGTTTTAACCTTCTCAAGGACCGGGCGTAGCCACACTCGGTTCAACTAAAGTTGGAGAAACTGACACCCGCCAGCCACCTATGTACAAAGCACGTCGGTAGAACCAGTCTCGCGTAAGCGTACGCATAATGTCGGTCCGGGCCGCTTCATCCAACAATACCGCCGAACCAAAGTATGACATGCTGGTAAGCAGTATGACTTGTATCGCCCACAACTCACTTGTGTTCTACTCGTGCATATAACATCAAACGCATAAAACCTAGGCTCGGATGCCACTGTTGAGGAATGTAGTAATTTCAAAAATTTCCTATGCACACGCTAGATCATGGTGATGCATAGCAACAAGAGGGGAGAGTGTGTCCACGTACCCTCGTAGACCGAAAGCGAAAGCGTTATAACAACGCGGTTGATGTAATCGTACGTCTTCACGGCCCGACCGATCAAGCACCGAAACTACGACAACTCCGATTTCTAGGACACGTTCAACTCGATGACGTCCCTCAACTCCGATCCAGCCGAGTGTCGAGGGAGAGTTCTGTCAGCACGACGGCGTGACGACGATCTTGATGTTCTACCGTCGCAGGGCTTCGCCTAAGCTCCGCTACAATATTATCGAGGAGGACTATGGTGGAGGGGGGCACCGCACACGGCTAAGAGATCAAGAGATCAATTGTTGTGCCTAGAGGTGCCCCTCTGCCCCCCGTATATAAAGGATCAAGGGGAAGGGGGCGGCCGGCCAGGAGGACGCGCGCCAAGGGGGGAGTCCTACTCCCACCGGGAGTAGGACTCCTCCTTCCCTTGTTGGAGTAGGAGAGAAGGAAAGAGGGGGAGAGGAGGAAGGAAAAGGGGGCTGCACCCCTTGTCCAATTTGGACAAGAGGGGGCTGTGCACCTCCTTCCTTTCGGCCTCTCTCCTCTATTCCCGCATGGCCCAATAAGGCCCATATACTCCCCGGCGAATTCTCGTAACTCTCCGGTACTCCGAAAAATACCCGAATCACACGAAACCTTTCCGAAGTCCGAATATAGTCGTACAATATATCGATCTTTATGTCTCGACCATTTCGAGACTCCTCGTCATGTCCCCGATCTCATCCGGGACTCCGAACTCCTTATGTACATCAAAACACATAAACTCATAATATAACTGCCATCGAAACTTTAAGTGTGCGGACTCTATGGGTTCAAGAACAATGTAGACATGACCAAAAGACGTTTCTGGTCCATAACCAATAGTGGAACCTGGATGCTCATATTGCCTCCCACATATTCTACGAAGATATTTATCGGTCAAACCGCATAACAACATACGTTGTTCCCTTTGTCATCGGTATGTTACTTGCCAGAGATTTGATCGTCGGTATCTCAATACCTAGTTCAATCTCGTTACCGGAAAGTCTCTTTACTCGTTTCGTAATACATCATCATCCCACAACTGACTAATTATTTGCAATGCTTGCAAGGCTTATAGTGATGTGCATTACCTAGTGGGCCCACAGATACCTCTCCGACAATCGAAGTGACAAATCCTAATATCGAAATACGCCAACCCAACAAGTACCATTGGAGACACCTGTAGAGCACCTTTATAATCACCCAGTTACGTTGTGACGTTTGGTAGCACACAAAGTGTTCCTCTGGTAAACGGGAGTTGCATAATCTCATAGTCACAGGAACATGTATCAGTCATGAAGAATGCAGTAGCAACATACTAAACGATCAAGCGCTAAGCTAACAGAATGGGTCAAGTCAATCACATCATTCTCCTAATGATGTGATCCCGTTAATCAAATGACGCTCTTTGTCCATGGCTAGGAGATATAACCATCTTTGATAAATGAGCTAGTCAAGTAGAGGAATACTAGTGACACTTAGTTTGTCTGTGTATTCACACATGTATCATGTTTCTGGTTAATACAATTCTAGCATGAATAATAAACATTCATCATGATACAAGGAAATAAATAATAACTTTATTATTGCCTCTAGGGCATATTTCCTTTAGAAGAATCTTTGCGTGACCCTGCTTGGCTTCTTGGGCGTGTATGGGAAGACAAAAGATACACTAGAGGCACGGGAGGACCAGCAACGTATGCACGGAAAAGACGGCATACATCAGGGTCAGGCCAGCTATGCTCTTACCAAAGAAGAGAATGAAATCTTCTTTGAATGCCTGTTCAGCATGAAGGTACCGTCTGGCTTCTCGTCGAATATAAAGGGAATAATAAATATGGTAGAGAAAAAGTTCCAGAACCTAAAGTCTCATGACTGCCACGTGATTATGACGCAATTGCTTCCGGTTGCATTGAGGGTGCTTCTACCGGAAAACGTTCGATTAGCCATTGTGAAGCTATGTGCATTCCTCAATGCAATCTCTCATAAGGTAATCGATCCAGAAATCATACCAAGGTTACAGAATAATTTGGTGCAATGTCTTGTCAGTTTCGAGTTGGTGTTCCCACCATCCTTCTTCAACATCATGACACACGTCCTAGTTCACCTTTGCGAAGAGATTAACGTTTTGGGTCCTGTATTTCTACACAATATGTTCCCCTTTGAGAGATTCATGGGAGTCTTGAAGAAATATGTTCATAACCGTGCTAGGCCAGAAGGAAGCATCTCGAAGGGCCATGAAAATGAGGAGGTCATTGAGTTTTGTATTGACTTTATTCCTGACCTTAAGCCGATTGGTGTTCCTGAATCGCGGCATAAGGGAAGACTGGATGGAAAAGGCACGCTAGGAGGCGATCAAATAATATGTATGGACGGGCATTCTCTCACTGAAGCACACTACACCGTTCTACAGAATTCCGCCTTGGTGGCTTCGCATATGGAGGAACACAAGAATTTTCTACACTACAAACACCCGAAGAAGTCTGACGACTGGATTACACGTGAACAAACGAGGACTTTCGCCGGTTGGTTGCAGAAACGTGCCATGCATGATGGCGATATTGAAGATGACCTGTACTCGCTGTCCCAGTTACCATCTTCGAATATAATGACTTTCAAAGGGTACCCACTACAAGAAATATGTCAACTTGTGACCTTGACTATTGGTCACTCAAAGGTCATGGTTTTTCATTTGCGACCTTTTTGTGACCAAAAAGAGAAGGTCAAAAGCTGGCGGTCGTAAACTGAATATAGCGACCTTTCTTCTGGAATGGTCGAAGACGTTTATGACCAAAATATGTCCACTATGGCATTTTGGTCACTAGCAACCTCCCCAGGCCACGTAGGCATCCAGCGTGGCAAGCTGATGTGGCATAAGATTCAGCCCGGTCCAATTCGGTTTTCTACATGGGCCTAGCCCAACAATTCGGCCCATTTATGATTGTTTTCCTTTTAATTTTAGTCAGCTACATTGGCCTAGCCCAGCAATTTGGCCTTTTATTTTCTAGGCCTTTGGCCTTTTCGCTTCCATTTCTTGTTTGAGCCTTGGCCTTTTTACATTCCATTTTAGACCAGGTCCCACTAGTCAGATCATCCAATTAGGTCCCACTTGTCTATTTTTCTTTTGTTTGTTTCCCATTTTGAAGGACTTGCTAGTGAAATGGGACCCAAGGGTGTTGTTTAGGCGCCGCACATCAGTTCACTATTTGTGAACTAACCAATAACTTGATTCAAACATAGCCAATAACACATACAATTTCAAACAACAGCCAAACGAAGTAATTTACAGTCATGGCAATACAAATCAGGTATTCAACTATAAAATACACCTAATATTAACATGGCCAGCTCCAGGGAGCTAAAACACATAGTTGGGTACTGGTTTTCTTCGGGATTCTTCTCCTGGGGCTGTTGTACACCGCATATGCAGGTTATAAATCAAAAAAGTTAGGAAATCAAGTGAAGTTGTGCATATAACATTCTCCTAACAATGAAAAATAGATGCTGAAGTTGAGATCTAATAAGAAACCGTGCATATCACATTCACAAACATGTATTGATACCTAGTGTTGACTGTATCTACATCTAAACTGAATACTGATCCATAGTGTTGACTAAATCTGCATCTAAACTGAATACTCTTCACTGAACATAGACAAGTGATATGCTAATCAGGTGTCAGAATGATATCTGATTCAACAAGGTTAACCAAATTTCCCACATAGTTTTGGGGAAATTCTATTTATCTACAGTGATTGGCAGCTATGGATGGCAATGTGACAGTACATACAGACTTGTGGCTGCTCATTTGTATTCAGGTAACTATGGCAGTGACACAAATAGACTTGTGGCTGCTCATTCACTAGCTATGGCAACACGATGCAAACAGACTTGTGGCTACTCATTCACATTCATAGCAACACTTCATCATTCATCTACAAGAAACTATTGAACATCATATCAGACGGGATAGGAAGGGTCACCTGACATATTGAACTCGATGCTGCAGAAGGCTGATGATGTGGTGGTACAGAGCAGGCCCTTTGTGGCTGGCTAGATGCGCCCCTCCCCTTGCTCCTCGAGCAGGACAAGGACGGCGACCGCTAGGATCGTTGAGATCGGGATGCTGGGGGAGGCGAGCATGCCCGTGAGGTACTACATGGCGCCGGGCGCATCATGTGCGGCAGGATGCCAATCACCAGGTTGATCGCGATCACGAACAACAGTGTCCCCTGCGCCGCTGCCTGCATGCATTCCAGCCATGTTTACAGTGTCAGAAACTCGACGGATTTTCAAAACGAAGTACTGCTGGTGCTGCTACCGCTGCAGAATTGGTTGGAGATGCACCCACCTTGTTGGTGTAGATGGTCCAGTTGGTTAAGAGCTCTGACAACATGGCTCCGAGCTGCCCAAAGAGCGCACGGAGGCGCCCACGGAGATGTTGTCTTTGATGAACAGGGTACGTTGAGATTGCAAAGCAGTCCTCCCCTCTAGTCGCAGACACTGCAAGACAGCCCATCTTTCAAAAAAATTTAACCAGTCTCAAGTTAACTTGTGCAGTAAAAGTTACCCTACACCTGCAAAACACAACCATGCATGTACAGGCACTATACGTACACAGCGAGACACATCAATAGAGACAAATAATGTTCAGGGTTATGCATGATGGATGTTGAGCACTTCTGTTGCTTATTCAGAGTAAAAAAGGGTACCCTAGAAAATTTAAACATATTCTGCTACACAGAACCATGAGCTAACCATTTAGCAAGAATGGTACAGGAACAAACCATGAGCTATCTATCCAGCATATTATGCGCACGCGTGAGAATATTTGGGTATACTTAACTTGGGTTCAGTACCCAGGTACAGTTTAAAAGCATATCATATTAGGTATACAATCATGCACCTGTGTTTAACTTATTAGGTTTCTTCACTTTCAATTTACACAACAAAGCAGCTAAATTGATTACCCAAAACATGCATGCTAGTGGTCTACTGGAAGCATCACAAAGTTAATGTTTTGCTTACCACACTGCTATCAAGAACCTCCCTACTTCAAAAAGAAAAAGAATAGACACTTCCAGTTCGTATAATCTGAAATTGAACACTGAAATTTAAGAATTAAAAGATGATTGAACACTGAAAGAGGTTAGCAAGTTGCTTGTTGGTTTCATCACAAAGACGAGTACTATTTTTAAACCTACGCAAGTCATTTTTTTAAACCTATGCCAGTACCAGGAGTATTTCACTCCTTCCCAGTGCAAGTACTCAAAATTTGTTTGAGTAGCAAATCTAGGAGTACGGCAGAACTCCAAGTTAAATGTACTGCAACCACCAAAATCTCTCAATACTGGTCATTAACTAGACACGTTATATAGACAATTAGGATGCATGCAATAAACATACATGAGTTATATAGAGCAGCAGCAATGGCATCACAGTTGAGTTGCCAGACCAAAACAAAGCCAGGTATATATGTATGTAGCAAAATCAGCCAAACTGAATATGCATCATCAACTGATTAAAAGCAGTGGATAATATAGTTCATCAACTGATATGGGCAGCTAGCCAAGTTTCCCAATGGGAGTACCAACATAGCAGCAATAAAAATAATAGAAAATTAAAATATAAGTGTGGCAGTGCATAAAAATTTTGCTAGAAAGAACATGCTTCCACCTTGTTTTAACAGAACTTTTAAACTTAATAGTAATGTGCTTATCCATGGCATCATCAGTCTTAACCAAACAGAGCAAGTAAAGGAGCTAATAGTCCTAATTCAGGTCATGTTATCATATCAGGTATTGCATAAAGACATCTTGGGACATATATAAAGCATCCTCAAATAATCAGCATACACCTCCAAATAGTAAGCAGAAAATATAGGGTATCCGCATTTATCACTGGATTTGATCCCCTCTGTATCCAAGACACATCAGGAAATCAGCAGCACGATTCACACTTTCACAGATGTGGTAGACAGATGCGGAAGCCTTTCTAACTTGGCGCGATGTAGCTTGTACACAGAGATGGGGAAGCCATTCTCTGCAATGTTGAGGGCAAGGTTCTGCCCCATGACGGCGAGGCCAACAAGACCAATTCTGGTGAGAGCCATCTCTTACCTGAAAAGAGATGCATCAAACATGTCATGTTCAAAACGGTGTCAGGTAATTTATGCATGTCTGACTCGAAAGGTTAAAACCTGCCTTCACAAAAAAAAGATCATGCATATGAACCAGATAGAAGAACAATCTTCATCCTAATGAGAAAAGTGACAGGTGAATAACTAAATATTGGGATATATGCGATAGGGCAGACATCACAACATGCAGTTGGGGTGACAAATTATATCCACAATCAAGTTGCAGCTAATCCACAATCAAGTTGCAGCAGTATAGTTAGGCAGTTGGGCAAACAGAACAACATGACATCGCTACTACTCAATGAAGGCCATGGCGACCTTGCTCCGCTGGATCTGGGAGGGTGAGAACGAGAGGTGAGGAAGATCCTACACAGAGAGGGTGGAGGGGGGTCATACCAGATCGGTTGTCGCCATGTCTAGCTTCCTCCTGTGCTACGTGCGAGGTCGCCATGGCATCGGGCTTGTCCATGGTGTCCTCCTTGACCATATGATCCACAAAAAAACCCGGACAAACGCAATGAGATTCGAGCAAAATGAAGAAATCTAGAAGAAGAAGAAAGGGGGGATCCATACCAGATCTCACCGGTGTCGCCATGGACGGGCTCCTCCTGCGTGCCTCACCTGTGAGGTGGCCATGGCGTCGATCTACGGTTTCGGCGTGGAGAGAAGGAGAGGGTGGAGTAGAAGGCGGAGGTCGACGGCGGCTATGAACGAGACGACGTCGCCGGGCAGTCAAGGCGTGGGGGAGGAGGTCATCGGCGGGGCTGGGGTTGGGGGAGAGGAGATCGGCGGCGGGGACGGGTTTGGGGTTGCGGGAGAGGAGAGGATGAAGGCGCGGCTCGGGAAGGAGGGCGCCACCTCCGGCGACGGGAAGCTAGGGTTAGACAGGGGTGAGGGAGAGGCCATGGCTATGGCTCGCCGGGCGTGACGCCGTCGTCGATAGCGGCGGCGCGTCTGTCGCCGATGAGGCCGAGGCGGGCGGCGCGCACGTCTACTGTGGAAGAGGCGCCGGGGCAATGGGAGAAGGGGTCGGCGGCGGACAGGATGCGTAGGTGGGAGATCTGAATCGGGGACGCGTAGGTGTGAGGAGGATAGGTTTTCGGTGGGAGGATACTAGGGTTTCCGCAAGAAGCGTCTCTTTTATTCCAGACGTGGGCGCTCCGCACCGTTGGATCAAGATCTGACGGCAAGCGGTGCTCGAGCTGCTGTCCAATGGGCCTAAGGGCCAGGCAAGACTTGGCTGGATAATTTTCGGCCCAGTTGAGCAGAATAGATATGACAGAAAAAGACATTAACTCCCTCTATTTATGTGAAGAATCTGCCAAATATTAGTTGAAAAATTGACCCCAAAAATTTTAAATTTTGTGTAGAAGGTTGCATCTGGGAATGACAAACAATCTTTCCTAAGGAAGTTTTCATTTAGTTTGGATGAAAAAACCATTTTCCAATTTTTGAGTGCCAAAAAGGAGGGTTTTTTGTGAAGAACCTACCAAATAATTGTTGCAAAATTGGACCAAATCATTTTTCTAAAATACTAGGCCATATTTAATGCACAATTGACCAAATGGTTGGGTGTAAAAAGTTTTGATCCACCTCTGATGAAAAAGACAAATTTTTGCCGATTCAGTTGGAAGCGGGTCAAATTTGAACTGTAGCTACCTTGTAGTTTGCTCTTTATTTTTTCCAAAAATCATTTCTAGGTACATAAGTATCTATTTAATCAGAGAAACACCAAAAAAGTTCCAAGATTCAACCACTAGCTAGGAACGGCCATTCCCGCCGTTTTGACCGCATTTTGAAACGGGTATAAAAAATTCAGAAAAATGGAAAAACTTCGCACTGTGTCATTATATGTGGCCAAGTTCCCAAAAAAATAACAAACTTGTCATACGGCAATTATTTTAAAAAAGTGTTCTCAGAAACGAGCTATCACGTGTGGAGATCAATGGCTTTCAAGCCAAATGATCAATCTTATGGCCACATTCATGGCATAGTTTGTTCAAATGATCTCATATTGTGCACAAGGGTGCATATTGGAATGGCAAACAATGTTGCCTAAGGAAGTTTTCATCTTCTTTGGACGAAAAAACCATTTTCGAGTGCCCAAAAGGAGGTTTTTTTGTGAAGGACCTCCCAAATAGTTGTTGCAAAATTGGACCAAACCATTTTTCTAAAATACTAGGACATATTTAATGCAAAATTGACAAAATGGTTGGGTGTAAAAAGTTTTGATCCACCTCTCATGAAAAAGACAAATTTTCACCGATTCAGTTGGAAGCGGGTCAAATTTGAACTGTAGCTGCATTGTAGTTTGCTCTTTATTTTTTTCAAAAATAATTTCTAGGTACATAAGTATCTATTTAAACAAAGAAACACCAAAAAAATCCAAGATTCAACCACTAGCTACGAACGGTCATTCCCGCCGTTTTGACCGCATTTTGCAACGAGCATAAAAATTAAAAAAAATTCAAAAAAAGGAAAAACTTTGCATTGTGTCATTATATGTGGACAAGTTCCCAGGAAAAATAACAAACTTGTAATATGGAAATTATTTTAAAAAAGTGTTCTCAGAAACAAGCTATCATGCGTGAAGATTCATGGCTTTCAAGCCAAATGATCAATCTTATGGCCACATTCATGGCATAGTTTGTTCAAATGATCTCATATTGTGCACAAGGGTGCATCTCGGAATTCCAAACAATGTTGCCTAAGAAAGTTTTCATTTTCTTTGCACGGTAAATTCATTTTCCATTTTTCGAGTGCCCAAAAGGAGGTTTTTTTGCGAAGGACCTACCCAATAATTGTTGCAAACTTGGACCAAATCAGTTTTATAAAATACTAGGCCATATTTAATGCACAATTGACCAAATGGTTGGGTGAAAAAAGTTTTGATCCACCTCTGGTGAAAAACACAAGTTGCAGTCGATTCAGATGGAAACGGGTCAAATTTCAACTGTAGTTGCATCATAGTTTGCTCTTTATTTTTTCCAAAAATCATTTCTAGGTACATAAGTGTCTATTTAATCATAGAAACACCAAAAAAATTCCAAGATTCAACCACTAGCTAGGAACGGTCAAGCCCGCTGTTTTGACCGCATTTTGAAACGGGCATAAAAAATTCAAAAAAAATCAAAAAATTGGAAATCCTTCGCATTGTGTCATTATATGTGACCAAGTTTCCAGGAAAAATAATAAAGTTGTAATACGGAAATTATTTTAAAAAAGTATTCTCAGAAACGAGCTATCATGCGTGAAGATTCATGACTTTCAAGCCAAATGATCAATCTTATGGCCACATTCATGCCATAGTTTGTTCAAATGATCTCATATTGTGCACGAGGGTGCATCTTGGAATTCCAAACAATGTTTCCCAAGGAAGT